AGGAAACAAGCGCCAGCTGGGGAAGTTTCTTTTCTCCTTCAGTGGGGGGAGTCATCCAAACTGGGTTAGGCCACGCCTCCTCTCCAGGCGGGGCTATGCAGATCTCCAGTTCCAATAGCCCTGCCTCTCCAGCAGGACGCCTGAGCCTCTGTTGTGTAGTGGGTTAGACGCATCGAATGATGAGGAAACAGTGATATTCAGCTCATGTTTACTAGCATACAACATAACACACAAATACGGGCCAGAGGCCCAACTATATACAATCTCTGTGGGCCACCCACAGGTCCCATTGGTGGCTTTAAACTTCCCGTCAAGGTTCCTATTGGTGACTGCTAGAGGTTTCAGGATCCTACTCCCTATTGTCTCTATGGATCCAAGCTCCTGTAATTTACGCTGTCGCCTAGTGGCGGTCAGCGGACATCAGCCTCGCTTTGCTTTCTTGGAGGCTCTTGCCTGATATGGAAGACTAGCCTGCTACCCGTGCTTCGCTACGGTATTTAAGGTCCATAAATCCAGTTATAATATTGGAGAAGTGCTTGCCCACTCCAGAACCGCTGAGTTCGGGAGGGGTGTTGAAAGACCTGAGTCAGATTGAGGTGATGAGAGAGGAGGTCCTACGACTGATAGACAACTTAAAAACTGATAAATCACCAGGCCTGGATGGCATACACCCGAGAGTTCTGCTCAAAGAAAATGAATCTAAAACACTAACATATCAGAAAGCTTGGCAGAAAGACTGCTCAAAAAAACTAGATGAAACAAACTGGACAGAAATCTGGAGGTCTACCCAAAACAAACCTCACTCATGTGCAGTTGAAATCCAAAAACTTAAAATCATAACAAGATGGTACTTAACACCTCAAACTATCTCACATATGTCATCTACATACTCACCAAAATGTTGGAAAGGCTGTAATGTACTGGGATCATTCGCACATTGCTGGTGGCAATGCACAAAAATAAAATCCTTTTGGATAGAAGTAATAAATAAAATAAAACAGATCTTAGATATTGACCTAACACTCGATCCTGAAAGCCTATTATTAGAGTTGTGGTCGAATCAGATCAAGCAACATCACAATAAAAATACGCTAGAAACAATGCTGTACGCTGCAAGAGTCTCTATAGCTTCAATGTGGAAAGACAAGAATACCCCTGACATCCACACCTGGTTCAGAAAGTTATGGGACCAATATGTCCTCGAGAGTATAACTGACAAAACTGGTACTTACATGAAAAATAACTCATCCAAGACGTTCAGTGCAAAGTGGTTTCCAATTCTGTCTTATCTATCGGAGGAAGAATACATACCTCCATCTTGGAAAGAATAAATGGTTCTGAAAACCCATATCATAAAACATTGCTCAGTCGCAACTGGATCAGGGTTTTCAGGTAGCAAGGTCATTTAAAACTTTTTAAGTAGAACATCAAAAAAAGAATCTCTTCATAATCACTTGTAACAGTTTCTCTTGATTGTATAGCATTCTCAAGCTATATACTTGTATTAATGTTTTTTAATGTACAATGTTTCAATTATTCTCCATTATGCTTAATGCAAATTTACTCAAAAAACATGTACTTACAAATTACTTACTCTGAAATGTTTATTACAGAAATTGTTGTATATGTTAATATTCTGAATATATAATTAAAAATTTTAAATTAAAAAAACCCCAACACGTGTGGGC